GTTCGACCCGAACCCGACCCGTGACCCGAAATTGACACCCCTACTAAGAACAATCTAATTTCCGCAAACAACACATATCCCTAACCCTAGGAAAATCACATATTTAAAGCAAACCATAAACAATAAATACCCAAACAGCCGTCCCCCAATTCCCTCCTATTTCCTTAATTATTTCCCTCCCAAATCAGCTCTCAAATCAGCCCCTAAATCTGTCATCTTCAGTTAGGAGATATTTCCTAATTAATCAACCCCCAAATATGCTCTCTTCAATTAGGAAACATCTCCTAACTAATTTATTTTGATTAAGAACCTTCCTAAACAACTCCCTCTTGATTAGGACATTTCCTAATTCCCTCCCAGTCAAATACGAAACTGTGGTCAAGCTCAGGATCGATCATGTATGGATGGTTGGGTTGTCCATGGATTGGGGAAGGAAGTTTGGGCTTGGCTAGCTAAGAGTGAAGAGGAGATAGCTATTTGGGAGAGGGGTTGTCGGCTGAAGGAATATATGGGTTGGGAGGTGACCGGCTAAGGGGAAGAGGGAAAGGAAGGAAGAAGGCTGTTGTTAGTGGGTAAGGAGAGGGGAGGGCGGCTGTGACTCGAAGAGGTGAAGATGGGAAGGCAGCCTAGCTGTCGGCTGAGCAAAAGGAAAAGGGAGGGGAGAAGGAGCGGCGGTACTAGTGAATTAATAGGGAAGGAAAGTGAGGGCAGCAATTATGAGGAATGATGCAAGCAAAAATTTGGGAAAAGCCCAAAATTTTAGCAAGCAAAATAAAGACCTTCATAGGAAATAGAAGATACACAAAACACCCAAAAACAACTTCTCTTTTATAAAATAAAATGACTTACAAACTTTTACACTTACAAACGACACAATAAAGACACCTAAAGAAGCTTTGCCAATCGTTCAGAAGAAGGATACAGGTGGGGTGGTCACTTGCGGAGAGAAGAAAGAGATTAGAAGCTGAGACGAAACATAGCTCGCAAGCTATAGAGACGAGAAGATGGGATGGAACAAGCTCACAAGCTTTTCCAACAAATAAACCCGCAGGTTTAGGCTCCAAAAATCACATTATATCTCTCTCTAAAAAACTCTCTTAATACAAAACACCTACTATTTATAGAAGAGAATGGGGAGCCAAACAGCCACATAAAACCTTCATCCAAACCAATCAGGTAAGGGGATGAAGAAGGGCCAAAAGACACCACAAAACAGCCCCCAAAATCTGCACAGGAAACAGGAAGAGAAGCCACGTTAAGAGGAAGAAGAAGGGCCAAAAGACACCACAACAGCCCCCAAAATCTGCATAGAAAACAGGAAGAAAAAGCCACGAGAAAGCAGACAGAGAGGGACCCGAGAAGCCAACACAGGAAACGGGACAGAGGAGTCACCGGAAAGCAGCCAAGGATAAAACCGAAAAGGCATCCATCACACATCCATAATTTACAAAGAAGAAATCAAGGAGACACAAGAAGGGGAAGAGGCAAGAATTTAACTCCTCTTAATGAGCTTACAATAAGAATACATTTTCCAATTAATGAACTAACATCGTCTCAAGCATTTATGAGCTAGAATTAAGAAGATCCCAAGATTTCAGCTCATAACCAAAGCAGCCAAGGACCAAACCAAGAGCAGCCAAAGCCCAAACCGTGAGACAAAAAGCAACCCAAAGAACAAAATATACATTTTGTTTTGACCCCCCCCCCCTGCCTACATCAAAGAATTAATGGGGAAAAGAGGAAAGAGCAGCAGCTAGTAGGGAGTTAACGGGGGGAAGGGGAAGGGGCAGCAGCTATTAAAGATTTAATGGAGAAGGGGAAGAGGTGGCAGCTGTTAGGAATTAGTGGGGAAGGAGAAGAGACATCAATTAGTGTAGGAATTAATGGGTGGAATGGGAAAAGGAAGCACCCATTAGGATTTAATGTGGGGGTGGGGGGGGGAATAGGAAAAGGTAGCACCCAATAGGAATTAATGGGGAAGGGGAAATTGTAGTAATTATAGTAGAGCTAATGGGGAGGGGAATAGCAAGAGACAACAGCCCTTGGGGAAATCAATGGGGAAGAGAAAAAGGTGGAGGGAATACCAAGAGGCAATAGAGTGGGGGTTGGCCGACCATGGGAAAAATGGAAGGGTTGGCTTGCAGGTGAGTGGGAATGGAAGAGAGGGGATGAGGCTCGGTTGTATGGGGCAGCAGAGAATTTCTACCAGCTGTTTGGAAGAAGGGGAAGGCTCGATTAGTTGATTTGAGGGGAAAGAAGGGATCGGCCAACAGTTTTGAAGGGGGTTGGAGGGCTCAGCAACCAATGGAGGAAGATGGGGTGAGGAGGAGAGAAGATGGAGCCAAGAACCTTGCCAAGGCACCAGTTGTTGGGTAATGTGTTGCCCTACTCCTAAGGACTTCACTCCTCTCTCAAGAAGACTCAAACACAAACAATTCAGAAAAATTGAAGTTTAATTCATAATAATCATCATCTTCCTATTGTAGCCAAAGACCTCAATATATAGGCCTCCAAACATGAATGACTCAAAAGACTAAAATGCCCCATACAACACTCATATAACTCAACAAAAGGGTAAACTGGGAAAGACTCTCAAAATTAAATACAATAATAAATAAAATACATAAAACAGACTATAAATAAAGACTCCTAATCGTGGTCGTTGATCTACAACTCCTCCTACAATAGACTCGTCAAGTTTTTCTGTCGATGTCCTTATCACCCAGCTATTTCACTTTTAGGTTATCAGGCTACGGCACAATATTATTATCTAACATTGGTACATTAAAGAACAGCAAGTTAACTAAATTTGTAAACCTCCAACAAGTCCTCTAGTTCTTCGAAAAATGGCTCATTTTTTATATTTATTTTATAAGGCTTGAGCCAATTTTGCTCATATTAAAGATTAATGTTCAATATATTTCCTTATTCTACATTCAAATTGAACAATTACACACAATTATTAGAGTAACATAATAAAAACCTAATGAAGTAACTTTAACAGTTTCATATTTATGTTTTAATACCCCCAGATAAAAACATAGAAAAGATAACTAATTTGCAAGGTTGTAGTCCGAATTTTGCTTAGCTACTTTAATTAAGACTAAATATAAAAAGTGATGCGGACATTCGATCATGAAAATTTTCAAAGGAGGAGACGACGATCGACAACCGAGATCATTCCACCTTATCTTAATTTGTTATTTGTAATTTTTATTTTTATTATGATTTTTTTCTTTTTGCCCTTGAGGGTCGTCCTATGTAAGCCTTAGGGGCATATGTGTCTTGTTTTAATTTCTTAGGCCAATATATAGAGGCCCTTGCTTGTGTAATGAATGTTGGATGATTAATAAGATTTTATGTTTGCACTTGTGTTCTTTAGAAAGAACCTTGGGTGAGATTCCTATGGGAGGAATTCGTAACTTCCACCAGCCGCATGATGTGTATGGGCTAGTGGCCTGAAGTCCCTTGGTGAAGGGCAACGTAGTACCCGTCAGCTGCAGGATGTGTCTGGGCTAGGGGTGCAAGTGAGTCGAGCCGGCTCGAGCTCGACTCATTTATGGGCTCGCGAGCTGAGCTTATCGAGCTCACGAGTCGAGCTCAAGTTCGAGCTTGAGCCGGCTCGGCTCGTGAGTTCTCGAGCCGGCTCGAATAATTATTAAATATAAATATAAAAAAAATAATATTAAATGTTATGTAACACTGCGTGCATTTCAAAATTATCACATTACCCTTTTTTATTTCTCAAATCCAGCATATATTCAAAGTTCCCTCCCCTCTCTCTTCTCTTCTCATTGATGTAAATAGCTCTGTTGAATAATAAATGTAAACGACTGAATAAAAGGATGATGTAAAAGCTGAATAATAAATGCATTTAGTCATTCATTCTGGCAGAAATGATTTTTGCTCTCTCTCTCTCATTTTAAAAAGCCCGCGCCTCTCTCTCTCGTTTTAAAAAGTCACGCCATACTTGAACTCGATGAACTAGAAGGCAAATCGACTATTGCAGAAGGTTTTGACGAGCGCTTGAACTCGTTTATAATGGAACGAGTCGAGCTCGACTCGAGTTCGAGCTCGGTATTTGACAGTTGAGCTCGACTCGACTCGTTTGCACCACTAGTCCGGGCTCGTGATTGTATCTTTCTTTCCTTAAATCATTTTCTCATCCCTTGATTGTCGGCCAAAATCCCCCAATTTTCACCGCCCAATTCTCCCATAAACCCCTCCACTTCCACAAAACCGGCCTTCTCTTCTCCCTCTCCACGGCCTTAGCTCCACCTCCAACAACCACCCACAAAACACCCCCCCCCCCCCCACGCCAACCTCCCCTAGCCGCCAGTCTCACCAAACCGCCGGTCGCCTTCTTTCCCCTTGGCTCCACAAATGTCCCTTCACATTCAAAGCTCTTTCCTATTTTAGCCCTTCTTAGTAACAAATTGAAATTTAAAATTCAAATTAATTTGAATTTGAATTTTGTTTCTAAAATTATGATTCTTATTTTAGGAAAGTATTTGAATTAGGTCCAATTCATTATTTAATTGGATGTGATTTAAACATTACTCCCTAATTTAAGGTTCCAATCAAAGTCCTTTTTAATTCTCTTTCCATACCTCACCTCCCCCTTTTAATGTTGTCAGCCCATTCCCCCCCTTCTTCCTCTTTGCCTCAAAAATTTGAATTCCCCTTTGATTACTTTCCTTTTATCAACCGATTTAAGTTAGGAAAATATTTGATTTCAAATTCTAAGTAATTTTGAATTTGAAATACTTTCCTAATTTAAGTAGCCTATTTTAGGAAAGTTACTTAAATTAAATCAAATTAGGTTTCTAATTGGATTTGATTTGATTTAATTATTCCTAATATTTTGATCTCAATTAAAGCAAGAAATTCAAATGTCAAATGTCCCTTTTTTTCCTTCTCGTTCTACATCAAAAAGGCATAAGCTATAGCAAGTGAATACAAAGAAACGTTTGTATTATCAGCTAACACACCACCATTGCAAAACTTTGAAAATGGGGCATAGAAATTAACAGGTAAAGAAAATAGGCGCCAAATAAGCAAATTTAGTTTACCTTAAGCAATCCTTGTAGCATGAAATAGCAGCTCTATTATGTCTAGAAATGCGATAAAGCTTGCCGATAGTGAGATTCATTCGTAGTGTTCTTGCCTTTGATGGGATTCCTTCAATCTGTAATGATACAAATTTATGATAAAGAATAACCAAAAATAGTGACAAGTTATCGATATAATTTGTAGAAAAAACTTACATAATAGGTTGAACTAAATAAAGATAAAAATAGATCTTAAGTAATATGTTAAGTTATCAAGCCAACTAACAAAGTACATTTTTCCTCAAAATAAAAAAAAAAAATCTAAACCATTATGGTTTTGAAGGAATCATTAAAATAAATAATCTCTCTCTTCATTAAAATAAATCTCTTTGCAAAGTAGTGGTAACATTGTGTACATTAACCATCTATAGCCCCTATTCTTTCACTACAGATTAACAACATACGTGTGCCAAGCAGTAGTCAAGGATCAACGGTTGGACATGTTAGGTGTCTTCATAGACCTCCATAGATCTTCTATAGTGTACCCTCATATGTTAGTATCACCCCTCTTTTGGAACAATTATTAGGTCCGGACACCAGACGTAGCTCTACATCCGGAGGCCAATAGCATGTCGCCATGTGCAATTACTCTTTACCGCGCGGCCCGACGACCCGGACCGGAACCCGGTATTGCTATGTTCGGGTATTGCTCGGTATTGCTAGGTACTGCTTGACAATAACGAGAAATACCGCTCTGTCAAGATCAATACTGAGCAATACCGAGTAATACCGAGCAAAACCGGGGTATTGCTCGGTATTGGTCTTGACAGAATGGTATTTCTCATTATTGCCGAGTAATATCGAGCAATACCTAGCAATACCCCGGTCTGCACAAATCAGCCAATACATAGCAATCTCGAGTCCAGTCCGGGTCGGGTCGTCGGCCGCGCGATAAAGAGTAAGAGCATGTGGCACCATTTTACTGGCGTCTGAACATAGAGCTACGTCAGGACACCGGACCTAATAAAAATTCCCTCTTTTGACACCACATTGCTTGGCCAAACTACAAAAGGAACATGTGTCCATGTAATGCAACCGATCTAATGGGGATATCGAAGCTTGGAAAGTCAATCAAAGGCGCGGCCGCCGATCTACGGCCACGATCGCGCCAATATATTTTTAAGTCGTCATATATATTTGTTTTTATTTATTTATGTTTGTATTTGCTTTTTGTTATTTTTCCCTTTTACCCCTTACTAAAGGGTGGTCATGTGTAAGCCCAAAGGGCGTTGTCGTCTTTTGTTTTTGAGTCCATTGTATGAGGCTATATATAGCTCTTATATTCTCTTTTCATGGTAAATGATTAAATTTTCCCGTGTTTGAGTTCTTGTGAGAACTTAAGAGAGATTGGAGAGAGAACCCTTGGAGAGGGATTCGGATCACCCACCAACCTTGGAAGAGTCCAGGTTCATGGTTAGTTTACCTTAAGCAACGGTCCACCAATCCCCACCCGCCGGCTTCATCCCACCACCACCACCACCCTAACCAATCCCTTTTCCCCACCTAGCCGCCACCCTCTCACCCAAAACCCTATTCCAAACCGCCGGCCACCCTTTGCTTTCCCCTCCCTCATCAATTGCCATTACACCTTTCCTAAATTAGCTCTTCATATTTAGGTAACTCAAATAATTACAAATTAAAATCTATTTGAATTTGAAATTATTACAACAACAACATCAAGGCTTTATCCCACTACGTGGGGTCGGCTACATGAATCTTTTTTTCTCCATTGTGTCATATTAAAATTTTTCATGCTAATCTTCTCTGTATCGTTCCAATTTAAAATCTATTTGAATTTGAAATTATTACCTAAAATATAAATCCTATTTTAGGAAAGTTTCCAATTCCCTTATTTGAATTTTAAATTAAATTGGGATGAGATATCTCTTTCCAAATTTAATCCCTTAAATCAAGAAGGCATTAAATGCTTCCATAAACTCTCCCTTCCCCCCCATGCCGCCGGCCACCATTCAATTCCTCTTTAGAATTGTTTCCAAAACTAAAGTTACTCTCTTGGAAATCATTCAAGTCAAAATTCTGAGGAATACAGTTCCCACCATCAGCCTCCATTGCTGGAATTCTACATAATACAGGTTCTCAGAACCAATCTTCATTGCCAAAATTATGATAAATACAGGTTTTGACCACCAACCTTCATTTCTGGAATTCTGAGTAATATAGATTCCTACTGCCGACCTTCATTGTCGGAATTCTGAGGAATACTAGTCTTTCCACCGGTCTTCATTGTCAAAATTCTAAGGAATATTGGTCATTCTGCTTCCTTCATGCATCTAAGACCAAGGAGAGATCGACGAGAGGGCTCCTCTCGCATGCAACATTGAGAGCCAATCGAGCAGAAGCGAGAGAAGTCGAGCACAGAACCTCCTTTTCTATGCATATGGAAAGAGCGAGAGTTCTCTCTCGAGAGGTCTAGCGTCGAGATAAGCAATAGTGTAAGACATGCACTCCTTACGATTAGATCAGAGGGATCAGAGGGATCAGAGGCCTTGCGTGCTCCTGTACAGGGTTGATCGAACAGGAGTGCTCAGGTGGAGTCGGATGACTGGTTTGCATTGGTCTGAAGGCTAGCTCGATCGACATGAGGAGATTTGCATGCCAAGTGCTGAGCCACTTGAGACATTTTTTTTTTGCTGCTATCCTTGAAGCTTGTCGCAACCCTAAAAGCAATTTTTTTTCTACTTCCATGTCTTCATTGTCAACCTTCCCTTATGGTTGTAATCCTATCTATAACCAATACATCATTCATTGTTGCCTTGCTTAATATAGCATTTATTGTTATCCTTTGCCACCGTAATAAATGAAGCTAATTTCTCTCAAAGTTTTGACCAAATGAAGAACTATATGGTACACCAAGGGACTTGATAACTCTACTTTTCTGGGACTAATTATTAGGTTGGGAATGACAGGTCTGTATTTGTCAACTTGATGGGGAGTATTAAAATCCTAATTGTCCCTTGGCCCTTGATCCCACAGTAAGAATGGGGATCCGTGAGATCCACGTCGATCTCCTTCCATATTAGAGTGGCTGATTTAGAAAGGATTATATGAGGGCAATTATACATGATTTCGTATTTATTTGTTTCTTTATTAATATATCTCATATAAATCTATAAATAGGAACAATTTTGTATGATGAAATTAAAGCATTTTCCCTCTCCAATTCTTTGAACTTAACAAAACATTCTGATTATTTGTACCATTCATCATAAAGAAATATATTTGCAATAAACTTCCAAACTTCTTGTCAATAATTGTTGGAAACCTCATCTAATTCGTGCCATGCTCAACTTTTAATTAAAGGCAGAGCCTAGAAGTGTTTTTCACCAGTACATGCCTCTATACATGATTCAACTATCAAAGAACCTTTTAATATTTGCATCTTAGTAGTTTTATAACAGTTTCAATGGTAAGTAAAATTGTTTGTGTCAAAATATCACAATTGGACATTTAAAACTCTACGCAAGTATGCAAAATGAACTATTAAGAGATATAATGATGCATCTAATGTAAGTTACTGAACATCTATCCTAAATTGAGAGCTTGATGATAATTATGAGATTGTTAAATATATGATCCAACAAGTTGAACAATTAAAAAGATCAATTGAAGGTAAAAGAAAACCTCCGCAAGAGCGGCCCGGTTCTCACATAGCGCACAATAGCAAAGGGTAATCTTGAATTTCACCTGCCAATTTTGTCAGAACATAAAAGACGATTACTATCAAAATCAAGTGAAATCTCGATTCAACAGCAAATTCCATCAGACAGAAAATTACTTCATTTTCATTGATGGCTGAAATGTTCATATTATTTGGAGAAGAGGATCTAGCGGATGTAGACAGTGAACTTCTGGAAACAGTTGTTTGCTTGGGAATAATCTTGCAGAGTTGCAAAGCCTGTTTATACATGCTCTGTAGGCAACAAGAAAACTAAAGTTACACGGCATTCCTTTGAAAAATCAATAATGGAACCAAAAAAAAAAAACCTTCATAGGCTTAAATAATCAGAAAAAAAAATGCCGGTATGTAATCTGCAACCAAGGTGATGCGGACATCCGATGGTGGACGTTAATCATAGAAAGAGATGAAAATTGATGGCCGAGATCCCTCAATTTTTATCTTAGTTTATTAATTATATTTTTTATTTAATTATGCATTTTCTATTTTTACTCTTACTTAAGGGTCTTGTCTTATGTAAGCCCAAGTAGCAAAGTTGTCTTTTAGTTTCTTTCAAGGCCTATATATAGAGGTTCTTGCTCTGGTATTGGCATGATGGAGTTTTAATAAAAAAAATTGTTCTACACTTTTGTTCCTTGGGAGGACTTTGGTGAGATCCCTATGGGAGGGAATCATAGTAGCCACCAACTGCAGGATGACTCCGGGCTCGTGGCTTGAAGTCCCTTGGTGAAGGGCAACGTATCACCCGTCAACCGCAGGAAGCGTCCGGACTCACGGTTTTATTTTTCTTTCCCTACACTTCTTTTCTCCTTCTCCCTTGACCACCTTCCATACCCCCTCCTTAGCCGTCGGCCAAGCTTCTCTCTTCCCTCCTCCCACTCTCTAAACCGAACTCCACCACCACCTCCTAGCCTGCAACCCCATCCCCTCCATTAAGTGTCGATCCCCTTCCCCACCAAAATCCACACCTCCTCCCTCTTCCCTTGACTCCACCCATTCAAATCTTGCATTCAAAGCCTTCCAATTTGAGCCCTTCTTACTTTGGGAACAATTTAATTTTATATTCAAATAAATTTGAATTTTGAATTTGTTTCCTAAAATGAGAATCCCTATTTTAGGAAAGTTCCTAAATTCATGCCCATTTGAATTTTAAATAGGGTTGGAATTAAACCAATCCTTCCTAATTTAAAATTCTAATTCAAGCAAGCATTAATTTCCCTCTCTTAAACTCTTCCCCTCCTTGAAACCGTCAGCCCCTCCTCATCCACAAGTTTGAATTTTAAATTCAAATAGCATCTTGATTACATTCCTAAATTAGTCAATTGTTAATTTGGATTTTGGAAAGCTTCTTTTGGAATTCAAATAGATTTGAATTTAAAAAAAAAAAAAAAACCTTTTTGAACCCTATGGGAGGGAATCGTAGTAGCCACTAATTGCAGGATGGGTCCGGGCTCGTGGCTTTAACTCCCTTGGTGAAGGGCAACATATCACCCGTCAGACACAGGAAGCGTCCGGGCTCACGGTTTTATCTCTATTTCCCTATACTTCTTTTCTCCTTCTCCCTTGACCACCGGTCATACCCCCTCCTTAGACGCCAACCAAGCTTCTATCTTCCCTCCTCCCACTCTCTAAACCGAACTCCACCACCTCCTCCTAGCCGGCAACCCCATCCCCTCCATTAAGCGTCGGTCCCCTTCCCCACAACCTTTCCGGATTAATAAATCCATTTGAGGAAGCCCCTCCAATCCCTCCAAATCTGAAATTAATTTCAGATTTAATTCACAATCACAATTAATGCTTGATTCGCATTCATTGAACCTAGGCACCTCATCTTTCCCTCTCACTTGGTTGGCCCCTCTCTCCCCTCTATCCTAATGATTCCCTTCCTAATTAAAGGTCTCAATTAAGGAGATAATTAATTTCTCTCTTCCCTCCCTTCTTTCTTGTTTGAATTTCAAATTCAAATCCATTAATTAAGAGAAATCTGAGATGGAATTTTAGATCTTTAATTCTTTTATCACCCCTACCCTCTCCGTTCTACATCACAAATTCTATGAAGATAAACATACTGGCTACGCTTCAATAAAGCTTCGAATTTCCCTTAATTTTACCGGGCAACTTCTTGAAAGCTTCTACAACCACCATGTGGGAGACATTCGATTATAACAATCATTCCAAGGACTCCTAATGCAACACCTTATTAGAAATGATGTGGATGAGTAACCATGAGTTATTGGCAGCAGCCAAAAAATATTTACTATTATAACGTCGCAAATGTTTGAACTAATCAAAACTTAACAATCACAAATTTCAAAAGGTGGAAAACAAGAGAAGATACTTCCTGAAACTAAGGGAAGATGCTTCCTGAAACTAGTGAATGAAGAATGAACTTCTAATCCCCATAATCACCCTTCCAATAACTTCCATATGTAGTCACAAAATATTCAAAAGCATTGTTGACCTCGTTTTCATAAAAAAACTCGCAATCAGCCTCATTGATCTTTTAAAGTGAATCGAGATGAGCTCAAATTTATTAAACTTAATTTGATTCCAATTAAATATGTGTAATCTAATCAAACCGAACTAGTTAGACTCGTTTTGAGTTTGATTTATGTTTGGCGGCTTAGATTAACACAATTTAACTTGTCTCTATTTAATTTATATTAAGGTTTCGTTTGGGATAGTTTTTTTATTACTTTATGAAACAGTTTCTTAGCACAATTTTAAAAAAAAAAATTGAAATTTTTTTACTAAAAGCCAACTTTATAAAGCAGTAAAAAAGTTGTCCCAAACGAAGCCTAAATCGAAGTTGATAGCACAAAATCGACTCATTTCAGGTCATTCGAACTAGATTTAATCACACTAAGATCCAATTTAATTCAATTTGGCTTAATCGGTCCAAACCAATTTGAATAGATCTCAATGAAAAAGAGTGTATGATGAGTTCAAATTAACCCATTTCAAATCAAATTATATCAAATTGAACCGCTTTGAATAATAATACAATTAAAATTAGCTTATTTGTTTCGACCCATTTCCCTCCAACAAGCTCTATGCATTTCTTTCCCTCAACATAAGCAAAGAGGTTCATGGAATTTTGATTTCATATATTAAACTAAGATTGCTTAGATTATTTCACTTATGCATTCTCTCTAGAAATCTAATAAATGATCAGTAACCATTTATTAATTATTCTTTTCCGAAAACAAAAAGAGAAGAAGATATTGACTAGAAAATAGATTGATGTTCAAATTTGTGTTATATGGTTAATAACTCCTTGATGTTTTCCTTTTCTTGAGGTCAATAAAGAAGAAACTAGTGTGCCCTCTTTGTTAAATGTCATCCTTCTTAGTAATCAACATGGATATTCTATTAAGTTAATATTAAACTGAAGTATTCCATGTCATGATTAAATCTTAAATGATAAATTAAGAGGACAATAAGATGAAGGTTTTTTTAAATATATAAAGCATGCTTTATGAAATGGATAGAATCATTGATATTCTTTCTTATATTTTAGTAGTTATGTATTGAATGCATAACTTGTCATTAGAGATATAAATGAAGATTCTAATAATTTTTTTTTCAACAAACCGTGTATGTGTTCTTTGAAAGATTTTAGCACGTGTTAATTTTTGTTCAATAAATCGTGTATATGTCTTCTTTGAAAGGTTTTAGCAAAGTGTTAATGTCTTGTAATGTCATGCTTCATTACTTAATAAGTTATGGATGCAAGAAGAGAAACCAAGAATGCGAGTAGAAGTGAATAAAAATTATTAGAATCTCCATGTATATCTCTAATGATAAGTTATGCATTCAATACATAACTACTAAAGTGCAAGAAAGACCACCAACAACTCGATTCATTTTATCAAGCATGCTTTGTATAGTTCAGGAAACCTTCATCTTATTATTCTCTTAATTTATCATTTAAGATTCAATTAAGATATAGAATACTTCAATTTGATAGAATAAACATTGTGATTACTAAAAAGATTGATATTTAATAAAGAAGTCACACTAGTTTCTCTTTTATTGGCCTCAAGAAAAAAAATATATTAACTAATTATTAATCATAGAACATTGATTTCCACATCAATCTATTTTCTAGTCATTGTCTTCTTCTCTTTTTATTTTCAAGAAAGAACAATTTATAAACTGCTACTGACATTTACTAGATTTCAAGAGAGAATGCATAAATGAAATAATCCAAGCAACCTCAGTTTAATCTCTGAAATCAAAATTCCATGAACCTTTTTGCTTATGTTGAGGGAAAAGAAATGCATAGGGCTCATTGTTTGATAGATCTCAAAGAGAAAGAATCACTCCATTTTGCTGTTTTTTAGTGTAAGAGGAAGAAGAATAAAACAATGTAGCCATATCAAAGGGAAATAAAGGGGCAACAAATTATGAAAAGCAAGAAGTGCAATCATTCAATCCTAATAAAAGATAAAATACTATCAATCAATTCGGAAAGCAAATCGAACACTTAAAACTAATTTTTTTGTGTGATAATCAAAAGAAATGCTCAATCGTATGCTCGATCGTCCACCCCTTTTTCGTTTCTTACTGAATCGCGCATTTAGAACGCATGAATAGTTGTTGCCTTTGCTTATTTCTTGTTGAATTGCATGCACAAGCCAATAGAAACGAATAGCCCAGCTCTTTCCCTCCCTCTTGATTCGAATGGAACAAGAAAATGCAAGCAAGCCTTCACACCGGGATGGAATCGCATAAAACCAACTGCCCTCGCTTGTCTGGACGCCTCTCCCACTCGCTTGATTAGCCTCTCTCGTTCACTCTCTCTCGCAGAAGTGATCGCACGCTCCGCTCTTTCTCTTGGTCACACCTCTCCCGCTTTTTTTGCATCAAATCGCATCAGCTAGCCCCTATTTAAATGCCTAACAAATGGTGAAGGAGCCAAAGGTCCATCATGCCCCCAATAACTTTTAATCCAGCAACAGCTATCGTTTCTTATATATCCCTATAGGCATGGAATGCCATTCTAGCAGGGAAATGTGGGAAAAGTAAAGTACCATGCTATTGGCAAATCACAACTGTCCATTTGATTTGGAAAGAAATAGGATGAAACGAATAAGCCAATTTTAACTATATTAATATTCAAAGTGCTTCAATTTGATTTAATTTGATTTAAAATGGGTTAATTTTAACTCAGCATGGACTCGATTTCATTTGAGATATATTCAAATTGGGTTAGACTGATTGAGTATAATCGAATTAAATTGAAACTTAATGTGATTAATTATTTGAATTGGCTTGTAACGAGTCGATTTTGTGCTAATCTACCTCGATTTAATTTAAATTAAATAAAGACGAGTAAAATCGAGTTAATCGAAGCCGTCAAGCTAAAATCAGACTCAAAACTAGTTGAATTAGTTTGATGTTGTTCAATTACACCTATTTAATTGGAAACGAATTAGTTTTAATAAATTTGAGCTTGCTTTGATTCAAATTAAAAAATTAACGACGTCGATTGCAGGTTTTGTTATGAAAATGAGATCAACAAATGGACCTCCAATATGTACATAGAACAAAGTTATATTGTACATATTGGCGTTGATAGAATCAACGAAACTCAAGAGAGACCAATTAGATTTTGATTTAGAGTTATGTGGTTTTGATTGTGATTGGAATTTCAAATAGAGGTCAGACAATGGATTTGTAGTTTAATGATGCAACTAAAAACAAACGAGAAGCCTACTAGGTATGCAAATCATCGCTTCCTTTCCAAATAACGTAAACAAACATAATAATAATAAAAAACATGACAAAACACACATTAAAAGGACACAACAAAGCTTCTAATAACGACACAACTACCTTATAAATTTTTAAAGAAGAAAGATACAAATGGAAAGGTTACCGTGGAGAGAAGAACGGGATTAGAAGTTCGAGACGAAGTTTAAGAGGAGAAAGGGAAATGGGACTTAGCTCGCAAGCTAGAAAAAAACCTCAGGTTTTTATCCAAAAATCATCACATATCCTCTCTCTAAACAACCACAAATAGCCCCTATAAATAGAGAAAAAGGAGCCCAAAAGACACCCAAGCAGCCAACCATAATAGGGGAAAGCCAAGGGACAGCAGCAAGAACCGAACATCCAAAGCAAGGGGAACCGGGGTAGCCAAGGAGCAGGAACCAAATAGCCAAAGCAAGAGAACTGGGACAACTAGGGAGCAGGAACCGAACAGCCAAAGAAAGGAGAACCGGGACAGCCAAGGAGCAGGAACCGAACAGCCATCCGACCCCCCACCCCCCCACCCAAAATCATCCAAAAGGGGAGGTGGCATTGCTTACATCATTTAATTTGATGAAACTTTGTGAAGAATGGATTTCTAGGAGAGGGGTCTAAAAGACTTACCCTATCCTAGAAAATTTTAGTCCTAAAGAGAGTGAGTTTCACTTAACTTTAGAGGACTAGGAGATTTCTTTTGGATGTTAAAGGGCTTCTTTTCCTTTCCTAAATGACCATAACAGCCTGCCATTGTTCCTCATGGGATCATAGGCTTCTGTGCATATCATTTTCTTTAGGAAGAAAAAAAATATTTGATGTCGATGGACTTTGGATGAACACTAGGAAGGGGCCCAAAAAGTTTTATCCTACACTAGCAAGTAAATGTCCTAAGAAAAGAAAGCACAGGGATTCACACCTATCTCTAAAAGACTAAGGGAGTTCTTAACTGACGGAACTAGGAAGGTGCCACGAGAGCTTGCTCCAACAGTAGCCAATCCAATCCTAAGGAAATGAAGCATAGGAGCTCACACTTAACCTTAAAAGGCTAAAGAATTTCATTGAAAGTTAGGATAGCGTCATGAGAGGCTTGCGTCAATACTAGCAGAACTAATCCTAAGGGAAGGAAGCATGGGGCCGCACGCCTAATCTTAAAAGACAAATGAGACTTTGTTTTGCTACTAGGATGGGAGGAGGGGGGCTTGCTCCATCACTAGCAAATCTAATCCTACGGAAAGAAAGCATGGGGACTCACACTTAACCTTAAAAGACTAGAGATTTTTTTTTTTTTTGGATTTTTAATGAATAAACTAGATAGATAGCATGGGGACTCATATCTAACTAGAGATAACTAATCAAGGAGAAAGTATACCAACACCTCTGGGGATTTTGATAAAATCTATCTAACTTTAGATTTCTTTTGGATTTTCAATAGCTAGACGAGGAAAGATGCCTCTGGGGGACTTCTAGTAACCTAGCATGTTCCAACTAAGGAGCTGCTCTACCTAACCTAGTGAAAATAAGGAGGAAACTAGCCAATCTTAAATTTCTTTTGAGTTTTCAATGACTAAACTAGGAAAGGGGTTGCAAGGACTTTATCCAAACCTAGATTTACAAAGTCAATGGACTAATCCATGGAATCCACTAGGGATTATAGAATAGTTAACCCGAATTTCTTTTGAGTTTTCAAGGACTACCCAAGATAGAAAGCACCATGACTCACACCTAACTAGGGTCAACTAGTCAAGAAGATAGTTTACCTAAACCTTTGAGGATTTGGTAAAATCTATCTAATCCTATATTTCTTTTGGATTTTCAAAGTTATACTAGAAAAGATGCCTCTGGAGGACTTCTACTAACCCCGCATAATCTAGCTAAGGGGCTACTCTACCCAACCTAGTAAAGATTAGGAGGAAACTAGTCAATCCTGAATTTCTTTGTAAACGCTTTTCCACCTAAAACCAATCCCTCAGTTGTGGCGGCCCCTATCCCAGGAAAGCCATTTATCTTATGCACTCCAGCCCAAGACAAGTCATTTGGTGCCTTGTTGGCTCAACTTAATGAAGAGGGTAAAGAAAATGCTCTCTATTATCTCAACTAATGACTCATCCCAACTGAAATAAGATATCCTCCAATTGAGAAACATTGTCTTGCCTTGATTTTTGTAGCTCAAAAACTATGGCATTATATGATTTCTCATCAAGTGAGTTTGATCTCCTGGATAAATCTATTCCAATATCCTATAACATGTCCAACATTGTCAGGACATCAAATTAAAGCATATCAGATTATCCAAAACATCAAAAGATATTACATCAAGTATTTATCAATTGGAGAGATAATGTGCCATGAACATAAGTCGATTTCATTCAAAAAACATAAAAAACAATCTAATTGTCAAATTAGAGTCATTGTCACATTTAGCCCACCTAGGAAGTAATTGCTTGAGAATCATTTAGTGGTCCCTTGAAAACAAGTATAACATACATACAATTAAAAAAATGAGTTACATCCACATCAAAAAGAACAATATCATATTTTCCTAGTTGTCATTAATGACAACATGGTTTCATCAAAATATATAAAAATCAAGTTTTAAAAAGGCGATAATGGTAATCAAGGTGTTTTGCCTTAGCGAGACAAGCCATAAGCCTACAACAACAACGTCAAGCCTTTAACCCACTATGTAGAGTCAGTTACATAAATCTTTTTTCTCAATTATATCATGTTAAGAGTCAAATTCTCATTTAAATCTAATAAGGAAAGGTCATTTCTAATATTTTCTAACCAAATCTTTTTAGGTCTACCTCTACCTTTCTTAACATAAGTCAAATTTAATATATCTACTTTCCTAACCCAGTCATCGGAAGGCTGTCGTTTTTTGTGACCAAACCATCTAAGGCATAAGCCTTAAAACGGAAAAATTAAAGTACTAGAAAAATTATAAATAACTCTTAGAATGACAAAATACTAAGTAAATTATAAACATAATGACTTGTTTGATGATAAATGTTACTGAAACACAATATTCAAAATAAATACTCACAAAAATCACTCCCATCTAAATAATGCCTCCATATGATTCAATCATACAAATTAAAAAAAAAAATCTTGATATAAAGGCAATTCAATCATATAAATTTAAAAAAGTGAAAGTTATAGTAAATACAATTAAAAGGAAAAAGAATTATTCATGGTGAAATTCATTCAAAAATGTGTCATTGCAATTAAAGACCTCTTGCAGCTAAAAAATGTGTATTCGTAAAAAAGAAAGCTATAGCAAATACAATTTATACCTCGGTGCATAAGAAACTAAGAAAAAGAATTATCTATAGTGACCAACTGAATACTTATGGCTAGACCTAAACTAGAAAAAGCAATTGAGTAAGATGAAATGGTTAAACCTTAACAAATACAAATTAAACTGATCTAACTTCAACACAAATGCCTCTTGTAAGACTGAACAACTTAAATTTCATAATTGCTTCTCACGAACCTGTCGAAGCCTACACAGGCTCGAAAGGGAAGATGGATCGTTACCTCATCACAAAAAACTCGTCCTGACACTAAGCAAGGCCGAAGCAGTGCACACAAAGCCGAGAGAGTGTTTCATTCACTGTGAGCTGCATAAGGGGGGTGAAAATTGGAACAAATGTTTCAAACCGACGAATCCCTAATCTAATAAGCACTCTCGACTTTTTGAACTAAAAAATAAAATAAAATCGATCGAGGTGGCGCCTCAAACTGCCTCGAGGCGTTACGCCTCATTGAAAAAAATCATAAGCCACGACCAAACCACATTAGGCTTAAGCCTTGAGGCGTCCAAGCTACGCCTCGAGGCGTACGCCTAAAATGCCTTTTAAACCATGATACTAACCAAGGACAAATTGTCTCCAAATAACCATTTCATAAAAAATGCTATCAACGACACAATAAAAGCAGCAAAAAAACTTATACTCAACCACTTCTGGCATAAGCTAATAGTCATTACCAGTGACCTGCGGAATTCCTTTTGACCAAACAAAGCATCACCTTGAAGAACCTATGCAAAAGAATGTGACTGATCAAAAACAAAATTAAAAAGGGAATATAAAAATATTAGGAATAAAATTCAGCATGATGAATCTTCATACATAACTACTCTAACAGTTTGAAGTTCACAACGCAAGTAAGCTAAATAGGTATTCACCACTACTAAATTGACCGGATGAGCTAGCACCTAATCTATAATAAAAGTTGTAGTGCGTACCCCTGCATAGAAGGGCATCATATGGAATCATTGCCGTGTGCAGTCCTAAAGCAGACACGTCCAAACCTTATTTGAAAACAATGTAGGGTATAAGAAAATCAGGAATTGTACTGAAAGGTTTGCATAATTGTTGTCAATATTGTGTTCCCCGAAAAAATATTTTTTTTCTGCTTACCCTGATCCCATTTCCTTCTTCAGCATATTGATGCATCAAAAAAACATTGCTCTAGGATGGAGCCAACTCTGGGAGATGTATATGTTATGTTAATGCATTTCCTAGGGCTTACAAACGCAAGAAGTTTGGATGTTTTGGGGTGTCATCAATACGGAGGTCATAAGTTACGATCTGGTGGTCGAGGATACAACCCAACAAACATTGCACTCTTCCCATTATATCAAGTTAACATATTCAAAAAAACATTTGATATTGGCTTTGCATAAAAATTCCCATAACTTTTCAGGTTGTAACATTATCATTCAGATCATCTCATAGATGCTTTATGTGTCCTAGGAAGAAATTTTACTGGGAATGAACACAACAGTCTAACCAACAAAACAGAGTTTTCAATGAGATGGGGAATGAAAAATATTAACCGACACAAGGATTTTGAATAAATTATTGTGCAATAACATTTTCTGCTAAGGAACAATATTTAATTGATAGTGTGTTCTATGTACATTGAATAGATGCTTATATTGATTCCCATAGTAATATTCATATGCCAAAAAAAATCAAAAACCACAAAAACAATTTACCTTTCTAAAAACTCAACATATTCGTTATAGGAAAGACAACACAAAGCTCATCTACAAATGTTATGTTTAAGCATGCCAGAGATACATTAACAAAAGGACGCATAGTACAACATAAAATATTGTATCAGTTTGGAAGGGGATATAAACACTAGCAATTTCAATTTTTTTTCGAACATTCAAAATGAAGTCATACAAACGATTATCAAATAAGAAGGGAAATCTTCCTACTCTTGAACTACTTATATTTGAATAAACAATACTGAGGCATCATTCCACTGAGATTGACTCATTGTAGTTGGGTGCTAGACTGAAATAGCGAGGGAAATATACTCAGCATATAAATGATATCTGCCCATATTCATGGAAAATAGAAGTGAGGAGGAAAATCAAGCACTTAAAAGGAAAATTTAAAAAAAAAAAAACTAAAAAATTAATTGACAATGATAAAGTTTTTGAGCTGCAAACTATGAGAGCATGCTTAATGGATGGGAGGGGGTATAAACATTGTTCATCAATAATGTGTTACAGATGGAAAAGGAAAAGAAAAAGCTTCAAATATCTATAAATATTTGAGCAATCTGGATAGAGGAAAATGTCTGCTAGAACAAGCACATTGCATGATGTCATGCTATTTTAGTACTAAGAGCTTGATGTTCTTGGTCACACAAGACCGGTATAGCTTTTTTGAAATAAATAATAAATGACATAACTAAATGTGGGTCAAAAAATTGCCAAAAAAAAAATCATATTCTAGTGATTTCAAGTTGACTTTTCAAAAGTTATATTGGATATTAAATAATGTGTTACTCAATTTTATACTCGAATGAAAACTTTATGATTTAATTAAAGGTTTCTAATAAGTGAAAAACATTGTGGTTAATTACCTCTCTTGATCACGAAAGATCATTTTTTATTAAGTTAATTTATAGGATTTATAATACCTTACTTTAGTAGCGGCAATTCAGTTTGGAGGAGAGAATATACACTCACTCAAAGCATATTGTGAAGGAAATGATGATATTCCATCGTCTTAGGTTGTTATAAATCCTAGTCTAATTAGTTAATGAAAGTGGTGGATCCAACTTTATTGAAGGAACCTTTTCAACAAACACGGTTTGTGTTGTCCAGTGTGAACTCATAGACTTGGCCTGAAAGCTAGCCAAAGCGACAAATTTTAAGACCAGCATTGGCTAACATAGGTTTTAATACCATATCGAATGTGTATTGTGGCTCACCTCATCGACTTAGCCATTGAAGAATATTCAAGCTTGAGTCATAATCATAATAGAGGGGTGTCATCACAATCAAGTTAACCAATCAGTCAAGGGGCACATGATATGTCTTACTGACGTAAGATTTTTTAGTGTGATTATACAAATATATTTGATATGACATTGGCGGTTTGTGAGCTTTGACAAAACTTAAATTTGACATCCTTAACAAACGAGTGCAAATGATAGATAGATAGATGTTTTGAGTGCAAATGATAGATAGATAGATGTTTTGAGTGCAAAGCAATCAATTTTTGCCCAAGCATTTTGGCTTTTATAACTTTCTGATGTGGCTAAGTTTGAACAGAATTCCCTTTGTTATGATTTTGCTCTGATTATGCCCATAATCAATAAAAAAAACCTTAATTTTTAAGAGGTTATTTTTAGAATGAGGATCCCCTTTTATTATGGTTGATAATAATCATATCAATCATAGAAAAATATGACTCGAAGTATTTATCACTATGGTCCAAATTAATTTAAAAAATGAATTTCTCCAATTATGATATTATGATAACCAAACTCAACATCAGGGAAAAACTCAAAGTGTTTATCTTTACAACTATAAGCTTTAATAATATTGATAAACTAACTCCTCCAGCTATGATATTGAATAATCAATCCGACAATGGGGTGAGGCTCGAATGTGTTTACTTTGTGGTTGGGAGTGTAATTTGACAATAAATCATTTCAATAATGATTTGTTGATAAATGAGTCCATTTTGGGGTAGGCATCTCGAATTTAGAGTTGAGATCCTGTTAGGCTAATATATATGTTCTAATAATAAACTTTGTGATCATTTGGATGTTGATCCCTCTAGTCACATTCTAATAACCATGCTAGTCATTGGGGGCATGAAGTCTTCATTTTCTTACTTGATTTGTGGTGGAGAGTTTCAAACTTATCAAACCGGATAAGTTTTAAAAGGCCGTCTCACTCATCAAACATGTTCAATATAGGCCTACCCCAAATAATATTTTGAATTGTCGATGAGGAAAAGTGATATCACCTCTATGAAGAAAACCACTATTATTCCATTCCGTTTGAGGCTGATGAACTAGGTATTCTTCTACTTTTTTAGTTAGGCTTATTGAGGCTTTGAAAGCTTTAAAATTATTTTTGCATTGTCTTTGAAGTTTGTTGGTCAACCAGAGTGATGGACCCCATAGTGCTTTGCATTTTGAGCAATTGGGATTCATGTGGATGTTGATCTCTCTAGTCAAATTCTAATAACTTTGATAGTCATTGGAGGCATTAACTATTCAACTTCTAACTATATTTGTAATGTAGAGTTTCAAGCTTGTCAAATTGGAAAAGATATAAAAGGCCAACTTGCTCATCGAATATGTTTAAAAGACCTACCCCACATAATCATCATTTGGCCAGTTAGTGAGGAAGAGTATTATCAGCTCTATGAACACAACCACTATTATCCCACTCGGTCCAAAGCTAATGAACTAAGCATTCTTCTACTTTTCAATTAGGCTTATTGCGGATTGGCAAGCTTTAGAATTATTCTTGCACGGTCATTGAATTTTTTACCAACCAAAGTGATTGACCCAACAGTGTTTTGCATTTTGAGCATTTGAGATTCATGTGGAAGTTGATCCCTCTAGTCATATTGTAATATCCTCGCTAATCATTGGGGACATGAAATCTTAAACTTCTTACTTGATTGTGTTGGAAAGTTTCAATGAGTTTGGTAGCCCCTCTAATTATGATATGCAAAGGATATATCCAGAAGGGTCCGACTTGCTTTCCCTTATTTGATCTTAAGATTTTAGCATATGGCATGTCATATGAGTGAATGCTAATGGTGGGTAGGTGTGCGGACATCCGTACGAAGATTTGGCGCATCTATCACAGGCGGCGTCGTAAATCGACGGCCATTATTTAAACCTTCAATCATGATTTATTTTTCTGAATTTTAGTACTTAATTAATGTATTTCCTGTTTTACCCCTAGGATAGTTTATGTGAGTGTTATGGCCCAAGGGGCAATTTTGTAATTCTTTTTCTCATGTTGTGGCCTATATATAGGGCCTTAAGCTATTGTAATAGGGATGAATATTTGATATTAAAAAAAAAATTGTGTCCACACTTGTGTTCTTCTTGTGAGAGAGCGTTAGTGAGATTCCTATGGGAAGAAATCGGAGTTTCACCAGCCGCAGAATGGGTCCGGGCTCGTGATTTGAAGTCCCTTGGAGAAGGACAACGGATCACCCGTCAGTCTTCGGAAGGCTCGCGGTTTTTATTTTCTATCGTTTGTTTCGATCTTTCGTTCTATTTTTGTTTTTGTTTTATCTCTTCTTTAATTGTTTTTCCATCGTCTTTCTCCTCCCCATCTTCGTTTGGCCACAGGATTCATCTCCACCTGAAATCCCCCATACTCGAACCCCTGCCGCCGGCTCCACCCCCATTAGCCGCCGGTCGAACCTTCCTCTCCACCCCTTTTGGATTTCCTAATTTGGTTGGGTTAATTTGGGGATTAATTTGAATTTGAAATTATTCAAATTCAAATTTCAAATTCTTTCCTAATTTGGTTCATCTATTTTAGGAAAGTACTTAATTAAAATCAATCTGAATTTTGAATTCAAACTCACTTTCATAACTCCTAAATTCAAATCTAAGAGCCTTAAATCACCTCATTCAATGCCCCCATGGTTCTTGCATACCGCCGACTCCTCCCTTGAGGTTATTTCTCTTTGGAAAGATTTCAAAATCTAAGAACTTTGTTTGACCGAAAATTCCAAAGCCTAAAGCCATTCATAACTTTCCAAAACTGAGATTGAATTTAGGAGTTAATTCTCTAAATCCCGTAACTCCCACCTGGCCACCTCTTTGGAAATTTTGCCAAAATCTGACTCCGCAGCCCCTAGCCGGAAATAATTCCAAATCTTCTTGCTTTTCTCCCTGGGCCGAAATCTGCATGATTATAGGTTTAATTTGTTCCTAAAAGGTATATCCCCATCAGGGAATTAATTCAAGGCTTTTTCCCTGCCACTGCCGCCGCCCATCCTCTTGTAACCTTTCTCCGTT